GGGCCCAGAGAACCAGACGCCTGCCAGCCCAGGGAGAGAGAGGACTGGGCTCCCACACAGTCTGAAGGACACGACAGTGACGAAGATGGGAGCCCCTACCAGTTATCACAGACTCTCAGGAATTACTTTGACTACAGCAATGGGGCCATCAGGCCCAAGCCAAGTAACAATTCCATTATTCTACACCCCAGAGGACAGCTGATCTAGACAGGACTCTCATCTGTGATATGAAAAGAGAGACTGTCTGTATCTCTGCAGTGACTCTGACTGTGACGTTTGATGTTTGCTTTGAAGGGTAATTCGTCTCAGGTTCTATCCCAATGCTGATTGTTGATTTTTTACTTTAGAGATTCTTCCTTATTTCTGTTAATCAAAAGAAGGTTATGAGTTGTTCTTTTGAGCATTTTATGACTTCATCAGTGAGGTAATAAAAAAGAGATGAGGAATAATTTGGGGGAAGGGGAAAAAAAAAAGAAGAAGTCCTGAGCCAGATACGACTGGTATAGTAGAACTGGAACATTTTGGACCACTAATGTAGAATTAGGTTTATAGAGAGTTTTGCCCTGAAAGGTATGCAAATGAAAAGTATTTTTGTTCTTTAAGGTATTGTATTAAGAATCCTGTTACAAATGTTTACTATGTTTGGTGCAAAGCTGAGTTTTGCATCCAGTGCTTCTTGTTTAAATACATGTGAATAGATACAAAGGACTTGAGAATCCTGCCTCATGCAGGACAATATGTATATATTCCATGTGTTTATATACACTGATCATCCACGACATTAAAACTGTTAAAAGGTGACGTGAATAACATTGACTCACTTGTTACATCGCTTCGCCCTGTAGAGAAACCTTAGATCTGGCGACTCCACATCACAAAAATTACTTGAGGAACTTGGCAAAGAGTCCAAGGTGCTGATACAAACTATCAGCTCCTCAGATCCAAATTGAATTCAGGTTTTTGAGGCTGATACTCACCCAAAGGATCAAGTAAAGACACCCTCAGCGATCCAGTGCTCTTGCCCCGATGGGTCAGTTATTTCTACATTGTTTCCACATCAACTCTTGCACATTAGGTGTTCTTATGTTAATGTCTGATATATGTGTGTGTGTACATTTGTTTATTAATACATCTTTACAGCCACCTGCTGCTGTCAGCTTAAAAAAAAACCTTGTTAATATGAAGAACAAAAGAGACGATGCTGAAAGTTCTTTGGCCAGCTGGTGTTGAAATGCAGCAAACTGGGTCAGTTTCATCTATATAACTATAACTTTTTAGTGCTGTAAATACCTTTTTGTAAAAAAAAGAAACATTGTGATGATACAAATACACTGTAAATTTTTCTATGCTTTTTTTTAAGAAGATCAGGAAGTGATGTGTATATGTTGAAAATCTTTATTTGTAAAAGTGCAGCTTACAAACATTCTTTTAAAAAACACTGGAACATTAAAGCTACTTCGGAAACTTCATAAAACAGCAGAAACTTTATGGGTTATTCTGTTATAGGTTGATGAATTTAAATAAATTTTTTATTGAAGAAAAAGTTAGGATTTTTGAGAAATATTGTTTTTCTTGTTATTTATAGATTCAAACACTGATACTACCTTCATATTTTACTAATAAAGGCATGGAAGACAATTAACTTTGATGCAAATTAAAACATGGTTGTAGTTTTAGCAAGTGTTTACAGGACAGATCTTTGCTTGGCCAGATGCCCTAACTCTGTTATGAGGTTATTAGGGACTAGCAGGTCACTGCATTTGGCTAAGAAATAACCCATGGCATTACTACTGTAAAAAAGATCCTAGAACTAGTACAGGCCACTATATTTGGCATTAATTTTGTACTGGAAATAACACTGTACCTGTAGGGGGAGTCTTAAATGCACTAAGAAGATTGAATAAACATGAAAGTACTGAGACTGTGCTTATTATGGTGACAAATGATACTAAGAACTGCGGATACTGATTAATATTTTGTTCATGTGCTGCTTGATTTAAGTGCAGTTGACACAGTAGACCATAAAACTTTGAGAGGCTCCAGGTCTGGGTTGGTAAAGGTCAGATGGTTTAGGTCATATTTGACAATCCAAAAATTTTTGTTTTCATTGGTGACAAACTGCTCTCCTTACTCTATAATAAGTTGTGGAGTTCCTCAGAGATCCATACTGGGACCCATCTATTTTCCCCCATCATATATGCTACCAATGGAACTTTAGGAATATCCCAAGAATAAACTGAATGCTGAGTTTTACTGACTCTCAGACTATTATTCATGCTTTTATTTCCTCTCAGTTGGGTTTTTGTACTGGTTTTTCAAAGGTACCAATCAGAGATAACAATAAATAGACTTCAGATTGTGCAAAATGCAGCTGTAAGACTGCATTTTGCACATGTGAACATATTATCCCAGTTTACCCCTCTACAATTCAATTCAACAGTCGCCACAAGCTGCTTTATATTGTAAGGTACAGATCCTACAGTATTACAGAGAAAACCCAAAGAATCAGATGCTGGATGTCCAATACTTTTACAATTGATTTTAAGATTTAACTTATTACTTGTAAAGGCATTTAGGCTTGGACCGAGATTATATACGTAAGAGGTGGGGAACTCAGGCCTCATGGGCCGGCGTTCTGTAGGTTTTAGATGTGTCCTTGTTCCAACACAGCTGATTTAAATGACTAAATTACCTCCTCAACATGTCTTTAAGTTTTCCAGAGGCCTGGTAATGTAGTAATCATTTTATTCAGGTGTGTTGACCCAGGGTGATATCTAAAACCTGCAGAACACCGGCCCTTCAGGCCTGGAGATCCCCAGACCTGATATATGTGAACAGCTGTTTGCTGTACCGACCAGTGTGCAGCCTGAGATGCTCAGGCAGAAACCTGTTAACTGTTCCCACCTCATGCTTAAACCAAAAAGGTGATCAAGTGTCTGCTTTTAGGGCTCCATGGCTGACTCGTTTATATTGTAAGATTATTTTTTTAATACTGGTATTGATAAGTGCTACACAACCAAACATTATCATTTCACTAGACTGCAGCTGCTCTCCAAGGTTGGAGCTGACATGGACAACTGTTGCAAACCTTTGGCTGTCACCCTACAACTATAGCCCAGTTAGAATCTGCCCCCTACTGCTTGATGATTGTAAGTGTACATGTAGTCACTCTTGAGGTTGTTGAAGGGTCTTAATTAAAGTATTGGGTACAAATACAGTTGAAAACTCTGTGATGCCCTTATCTCTGTGATGAAACTTACACTCAGCGTCTTTGATGTTTTACACAGATTGGAATTAAGATGATGCCAATCACTTCAAAATTCTCATTCTCCTTCCATTTTTATTTAAAAAAATCAATAACAAAGATGTTACAGCCCTGGGCCTTGGAGGGAGTGAGACTGCCCTTTTGTGTTCATGCAAATCTAAGTGTGCCAGGACTCGTGGATGATTGGCTGCTGGGAGTCCTGTGCCAGCCCTCTTTTATCCAGATCACAGTGTGCCAAAGGCAAAGCCTTTGCCTTTAGACAATAATTCTGATGGCAAAAGAGTCAAACGGGACAGGCAAAAAAAAAAAAAAGATCACAGTGTGCCAGACCTCGTGGACGATTGGCTGCCTGGAGATCTCATGACCAATTGACTGGCTGATTGTCTGCACCTGGGAATATAAAAAGCTGAAGAGCCTTCACACTATGGGGAACTGCTGCGCTGAAGTGAACATGCAGTGGCATCCTCGTCTGCTTTGCATGTGAAGCTCGTTTGTTAAACCTGTTTGCTGTGTTGCTCTTTGTTTAAACCTGGTATACAGCTAAACTTAGTTTCATTAGAGTTTTGTGATGCTGGCTTGCCTTGGTTAACCCTTAGCTTTTACTCTTGCCTGTTCTTTTCATTGTGTATTAATTGTTTCCCCGGTGGTCTGTTGAACAGCTCTGTTGGTTTTCAGTTTAATGTTTGTAATAAAACCCCTTATTTACTCAGATTTCGTGAGAGGGCTTGTGTATGTTTCTCCCCTCCTGTCGCCTAGCAGAGGGGGTCGTGACATAAGGCTTTTAAAAAAAGAATATAGAAATCATATCTGTAAGCATGTGGAGTTTGTTCCTAAGGATATATAAAATTTGTGGTATATGTTAAATTCTCTTACATTTGTTTTGAGCCCAAGAGGACACACAAACCCAGCCTCTGAGAATTACAAGCTCGCGTACTCTTTGTGCCAGGGAGTCTTTTGTTGGGATGGCAGTTGTAAACTTGGTGCCAGTTCAAACATGCACTGTGATGACCCCTTGGGAAATAAGTGAGCAGCTGAAAGTACCTGTCCCTCCACATACCAGACAAAAATGTTTTACTGTAAGGAATGGAGTTGATAAAACTGAATTAAGGCTGATGTTACATTAAATGGCATTATTTAATGCTAGGTTTAGAACAACACTGAATGTTTCTGACCCTCCAAGTGAACAAGCAAAGTGTGTACGGGGAAGGGCTTAAGCCTAGGGCTACAAAGTCTACATCTCCTACCACGACTGGCTCTGGATCCTGTGGAAAAACTTTGGAGGAAGTACCTGAATGTTTTGGAAGTTAAAGATTCTTCAGAATGGGAAAATTTTAACTCGACTGACCCATGAACATCTAAGCTGCAGTGCAAGGCTGAACAACATGTTTTTTTCCTCTACAAACAGAACATTGAAATCTTAGTTTATCTTAATTTTTTGCTTAGGCAGCATCACAAACACAATTTAGGCTGTCGTGTGGTGACCAACAAATTCTTTGTCCTTTTTTTTTTTACATCCTTAGTGCTCTGTGGTGAACTAATTTATCAAATGTCTTGTGACTTTTCCTCACCATCTTTCCATCAGGGCGAGGAAAACTAAGCGATTAGATGCTGGATTTTTCCTGTCTAGCTTAAACTGAATGTCTTAGAGGTCATATGTTCCTAGTTTGTCATATGTGTGTTAAAAACCTCTTTTCTGGCAGTTCATATGTTCCTGTTTTAGTTCTTAAAAGCCACACTGTGTCAAAATTTTTGTTTATTTCACAAAAAGAGGGCACAGTTAAATCAGTCTGCTACATTATTTTTCCAGAAATATCAAAAAACAAACAGAATTTGTTAATAAATCTAGATCTAAAAACCACTTAGATATTTCTAGCTTTTCTTCAAAATCTACTGAATTAAACTGCGTTCTGTGCGAGAGCCTCTTTGTGAGTCCTTTGATGAGTGCGAAGGTTACTCCTCTGAGAAAAGCACTTGCCACACGTGTCGCATGTGTACGGTTTCTCTCCTGTGTGAATTCGCTGGTGTATCTCGAGGTGGCTGATGCGATCAAAGCTCTTCCCACAGAACGGGCAGATGTACCACTTCTCCCTAATGCGGCGCCCCGCTATAGTTTTGTGCAACTCTGGGTCGTTTAAATGAAAGAGTCTGTTGTCTGTGTTAAAGGTTGACATGTTTTTAGTCTGTGGTTGCTGTTTTTCTGAGAGGAATCTAATGGACATTCCTCTCTCTGAGTGATTTATTGCTTCTATAGGTTGACTTGGCTGAGACTGGCTGAAAGTCACAGGTGCCCTTGATTTACTTGATGCACCTTGAACCGTTTCATTGTCCCTCATAAACCTGTCCGAGTATGCTCCCTCTGCTGAATTATCGAAAATGTCCAAGGCATTTTGAATGAGCAAGATTTCGGAGTCCAGATTTTGAGACAACTGCTTTGTTTCGAAAAAGCACTCCGAGTCATCCGCAGTGTCGCTGTCTCCCACCGAAACAGTCAGCCACTGCTGTGACTCTTGCTCTTCCACAACCTCAGCAGGCTGGTGGTTCAAATTCATCTCGTGGGGACCTGCTCCACTGTTAACGCTGTGATCAGAGTCCACGACCTGCTCCACGATCTGGACGTCATCCTCGTCTTCTAGTTTGACTACTAAGTCTTCGTCATCTTTGCCCTCACTGTCAGATTTGCGCTGCTCACTGCGTTTCTCTTCTGTTTGAGGAGGTGATGACGTTCCCTGATTTGGTGAAATATCCACCTTATCTCTCACGCTCTGATCCGAAGACAAAGTCTGGACCGACTCTATCGTAGGCCCTGAAAGGACACAGCAGATTGTTTAAATTGTTAAAGGAAAATCAAAGTTCCCTTAAAAAGTCATTTTTTAAAACAGGTTAATTTTATAATTAATCGCCTCAGCAACAGAGGCAGCAAATACTGTGAATTGTAAAGAAAGGTACCCAAATAACATGCACCTGCTTCATTACAGTGCTGTCTGAAAATGTGACATTAAACACTGGGAAACTTTTTGACTTGAGTAAGTAACAAGCAGATACACCAACGCTTTTAATGACTGTTAGCTGCAGGGACAGTCAAGCCAACTACAATGACATATCACTAAGAAAATCATCATATCACAGTGGAAAAGCTGGCAGTAGAAAGTATTTGACAAGTTTTCCTACAAAATGGCAAAAGTCACTTAAAACATTTTCTGCCTGTTGACAAATTAGGTAAATCTAAAGAACACAGACCTGTTTGTTATCTACAAACCCAATTCTGAAACCTTTGGGACACGATGTAAAATGCAAATAAAGAGACTGCAATGATTTCCCAAGCTCATAAACCACTTTTTAAATTCACAGCATAACTTAGAAAACATCAACAGGTAAAACTGAGACATTTTACTAATTCATAAAAATTTTAGTTTATTTTGAATGTGACTGCAGTGATGTGTCTCAAAAAGGTTGGATCTTTTGCCAGTCTTTAGGCACATTTTTCTCTTTCTGATACTTTGACCTTTTTCTTCTTTAGTAACCCGGTGTGTGTAACTTTGGCTCTGTTCTGTGGATCATTACCATGCTGATATACACCTCTTTTACCACTTGTCTTGTTAGTTAATATTTTGGTGGATCCAGTGACAATGTCAGGAACCTTGGCCTCATTTTGGACAGTGATCTCAGTTTTGATAATCATATTAATCAGGCCAACCAGAACTGCTTTCTATCGCTTCAAAAACACATCAAATGTTAAAAATCCCTATCTCACACTGAATCTCAGAAATAGGCCCATGCATTTATATAAAGCAGGTTATACTACTGTAATGCTCTGTTTGCTGGATTATCCAAATCATCACTAGGACGACTTCAGCTTGTTAAGAATGCAGGAGCCAATCCGTAAACGCACAAGGAAATTTGACTATATAACCCCATACTGAAGTCACTAACTGGCTCTCAGTTCAACACAGAATTACCTTTAAAATCCTTCTATTAGTTCATAAAGCTCTCAATGATTCCTACCCCCTTCCTGTACATCTCCGGCTTACTCAGTGTTTATAATCCGATTAGACCTCTCAGGCAGGTGCAGATCTTTTAACACTTCCCAGAATTTGATCTAAGTGTGCTGAAGGTGCTTTCAGTTGCTGTGGTCCTATCCTTTGGAAGGAGCTCACTTTTATCAATTACAACTGTGTCTAAACAAACTTAAAACATTTTTATTCTCACAGGCTTACAATAAATAACAGTGTAAGTGGGTGTATATGTGTATGTGTGTCTATTAACTTTAATTTATTTCTTTGTAAAGGTTAGTTTAGTTTTTCTGTGTTTAAATTAATTTTGCCTTTACATCATGTGGTAACATGCTGGACATAATGTCTACCTAAAACATTCATCAGGCTTCTTTTCATCATCAAACTTAAGTCATGCGGGTTTGTGCCAAGAAGCAAGAAAGAAACTACTCTCCTTCTAAACCCGATGTTGACATTACTGTGAGCTGACACTGTTTTAAGCTGCAATATTAAACAATACAGATGTGCTAAAACTCCTCCTGTGCACACTTACACATAGAAGGCGCTGTATAGAGAATATAGTTGTTATATTGTTAAATACGAGAGAATATAATTGTTTGGAAACGCTGTACTTAAACAAACACATGTCTTCATATGTTCACAAACATTACAGTGTGTTACAGATAGTTTGCAAACTGACTTTTTCATCCACGGGGTATTAAATTGTGTCTTTTAAGACAAATATCGTTTATTGATCCCCTGTTTCTGCCGCGGTTGTTCTTACCATCACCGGCGGGCGGCAGCAGCTTATTCTGCTGCTCTCTCTTGGAAAAAGATGATGAGGAGTTATTTGCAGACTGAGCCCGAGCCTCTAACCGCTCCTTTTCCATCAACAACAACTTTCTGTTCAGAGCCTCGATTTCAATCTCTCTCCTCCGAAGCTCGACCTGGACCAATGCGAAGCCGTCCTCCCACAGTTTGCTAATTTCCACCACGGCTGCTTTAGTTAGCATCTCCATGATCGAGGTTAACTTGCTCTGGAAAGCTACACTGTTGGCCATTTTCCCCGCGATCAGCAGTTCTCCTTGACTGTGAGGACGAGGCAGGATGTTAAACGGACTCGGTGCGTGGGGACAGATCACACAGAAGGAGCGAACTCGCCGCGGTAGTTTACATCACAGACGCTCTTTGAGGTGAAAAATATGGAAGTGTAATACAATAGCAACAGGAAACTCGAGTGCTCACGTGATGCTGAGAGTTTACGGTGCCCCTGATGGGTCAAACTTTCTCACCAGCAATATAATTATAATGAAGTGTGGCAGTGTTTGGTCGTTTAAATGAACTATATAAACAAACAATAGCAGTTTTGTAATTTTATAGGCTGTCTGTAATAAATACCGGTTGGAAATAATCATTATATTTATTGTTTGTTTTTTTTTCCAAATATTAGATTACATTATAATACAACATTTGTTATCTATTCTCGAATAACTGAGGTCAGCTAGAGTCCAGGTTGGGTCTTAACTATGAGTATTTCACGCAATTATTATTATTAGAAAAAAGTATAATAACAAACGTTGAACATGTGAACATATTGTCAAAGCAAAGCAAGTGCTTTGTCAATATGAAGTAACCTTCGCACTCATCAAAGGACTCACAAAGAGGCTCTCACACAAACGCAGTTTTATTCAGTAGATTTAGGAGAAAAGCTAGAAATATCTAAGTGGCTTTTAGATCACGTACCTCTCCTATCTTCCCCATGATGAGAAAGATGACGTGAAAAACCTGATTCAAGCGCACCCTAGTCTGTTTGGGGATGTACCATCTAGAACCCCAGTGTTAAAGCACGACATTGACGTGGGTAATGCGTGCCCTATTAACCGACACGCATACCGGTGCCCCCCACTCAAGGTTTGGCGATACCTAGCCATAGCTCTTGGAGCTCTCCATGTATGCTGACACCAAAGTCCGATGGTTCTCCTCGTTTTTGTACTGATTTTAGGAGGGTATATATATATATATATATATGTGTATATATATGTGTATATATATATATATATATATATATATATTTATTTATACTATGCCACTTTGCGGGCCTCACTCACCCATGTTAGTAGTCAGAGTATTATGCGGTTCAGATTCTGTTTGTTACTCTGACAGTATCAGGACACGCAGGAGTGGCTGAGATATGTTCAAACTTTACTATCGTGCGCAAATAACTACAGACCTTTTCTTTGAAAGTTATTGGAAAATGTCATCTAGAACAAATTCAGGTGTGCCGCTTGTTTCTTGATTTTTGTGAGCTGGCTTGTGCTGACTGATTTTCTCCATTAGATGAGGCTGTTTTTCCACGAGAGTACATAAAAGCTGGAGTTAAAGCACCTTGCGAGCAGAAAAAGTCATTATAAATAAGACTTATTAAATATATGGTGCTCAAGTTTGTGATTATTTTACCAGGCAATACGTGACCACACAAAATAGATCAGAAGTCTTAACGTATCACTGAATGAAATCGTTTTATTGGGTAATAAACCAATAAAATGTCACATGTAAATGGGATGGATTTAACAAAAGCAGTGGGGTTGCTGGAGTTGTCAACAAAAACTTTAAAAAACAAACTAATACAAGCTATTGGGCAATTCAAAGTACAAGTACAAAAATACTTTGAAATATAAATGAATAAGGGTGAAGTCGTTGTTATGAAACATAGGCAATGAACTTACCAAGACATTGCTGAGGGTTCCACTTATTTTTTTAAAATTGTATATGATGGTACATACCGGTAGGTATATTTCTCTCATTTTAACTAACGCTCGCGCAAATTTCCGCGTGCTCATTGGCTTGTAGACGCGCCAGTCGAATGTGGGCGGGGCCAGTGGGAGTTACTTGGATGAGAGACGAAAGACGACGGAGCTGTCAAACACCAACAATCGACTGAAATATTATCCCGGGCGGTACAAAAACACGGTCATTTGGTCATTTGTGGATACAAGGACAACATAAGCAGTCTCTGAATTGATTGTGACACTTGAGCCTTTGGGAATTTGGACTTTTCAATCGTCGCGACGAGAAACTTCTTGTTTGTGTGTGTTTGCAGGATCCAGGGGCTAATGTCTGTTAGCTCTCTGCTCAGCTCCAGTTTTGTTGACAAACTAGCCCGTCCGCTAGTCACGAAGCTAGCCTCGGTCCCAACCCTGCTGTTTTGGCGTTAATTGGACGTTTTCTTCAAATGGCACCTGGTAAAAGACACGAAAACGAGTTTGCACTGTTACTGCAAACACCTCTATGAAATAAAAACAGGTGAGTCAGCTGAACTCGAGGGGAACACACGCCAATGCTGACTGTTTCTTCTGTGGTTTGTTTACATTTATGTCGCGGCCAAAAAAACACTTAAAATAACAGAAGAAATGCTGATCGAGAAGTTCATTATTTAGCATATTATTTATACTTTACAAGATACGAATCATGCTTTTCCCCCTTCACTCGTGCTGTTTATGGCTCTCACGTATATAAAGTAGGTTTTTCCCCTTCACTCCACAGTGCCTGTCCCCTCGGTTTGTTCCATTATTTCAAAACTCTGAAGAATGAGAGGTATGCATTGGTATGGTATTCTGTAATAGATTGTGGTCAGATGTGATGCTATTCTCTTTTGTTAAAATAGATCTTGTTTACATTTTTGCATGGCTTTTTACAGTTAGTTGGTATCTATAACTCACCAAACAAAGGGCCTATCAGATTACTGAAATGCTGAAAATTGTTTACAGAAATTATCATTAGAGACTATCATAACTTCTACATTGTGTTTGAATGTAGTGAAAACAGGTCTGTGCTTATTGCTGAGCTGTGTATGCAGACTCTTACACGTTCACTCACGCCCATTTAATTCCTCTTGCTCCTCAGAGACACTAACCCTAGCTACAAACCTGTCATTAGAGCATCACTTAAGTACTTTTTTCTTTTTATTTATTGCTGACATTTTCTATTAGTCTCTGATCCACTGAGACACAGTGGCATGGTGTTCAGGCCCCCAAACTACTGTTAAAACATTTGGCCTGAGGCTGCTTTGGTGATGCCCCATCTGTTTCAGAGTAGCAACAAGCCACATTTTACAGACCCCAAGAAAAATTCTGCCTTTGAAATTTCCACCCTTTTCCTTTAGTGTGGTGTTTTTTAAGTGCATGCCTTTTGGATATGTAGGCAACAGGGTATAGTTTGGAAACAAATATAGTTATGAACTCTGTTGGTTTGCCTACATTTTCTTTTTATCATTTCCAGTGTGATAGAGGGTTATCGTATTGCTCAAAATTACAACTTTCTGTAGTATGATCCTATTTTTTTAATTGGACTAAGTCATGTTGTAGTATGCAGCTGTGGTTGTTTCCCCCATAATTGAATTCTTTTTTATTGCCAGGAAGTGACTATGAATGATGTGCGTTTCATTTTTACCTAATGAGTAGGTGTTTAAATTATTACTATGGTTGTCATCATCTTTTGCCTATAAAATAATCATTCTGACTGAAAATCCTTTTTTAACCACCCACTAAAGATCAGGCTTTTTCAAGTATCATGTGTATGTCTGAAGTGTTTGTGAGAATGGGAAGTTTTTATTTAGTCAGTTAGGGCAGCTTTGACCATTAATGTGGGTGTGTGAATGCAGAAGCTCTTCTTTGTTGCTTCTCGGTTATGAATATAGGGAGAATTTATGTTCTACTTGCTGACCTATTCTTGTCTACTCAGATACAGAATAGATGTGATGTATCTGTGTTCTTGGTCTTGGACGGAAACCCCACTGAAATTAGATAGGAACGCTTGGGCCTGGTACTTGTGGCTTGCATTTTTCTTGGCACAGCCACTTTTATTCCTGCTGTACTGTTTCTGCAAGGCATAAAATGAGGTGTCGCTGTTAGGGGGAAAAAAAACAGAAAGAGGAGGATGAAAAGCCTTTTAAGGATGTGGCTGGGACAGAGAATGATCTCAGAAATTGTCCAGTAGGAGTACAGCAACTCTCTTAAGAGTCTAGTGTCACTGCTGTTTTTAGGATCTTATGAAACCTCATCTGGGCCCAACATTGACTTTTGAATTTCTGCTTTGGTTTAATGGGCCTCTTTAGTATATTCATTTAAAACACTGCACCTGTTTTAAGCTTTTGTCATTATTCCTCTCAAACACAGAAAGGCCAGAGTACATAATGACAGTATTTATAGTATTAGCGATAATGTGAAGTCCGACTTCTACGTATGAGCTCATTGTTGGAACCCATACTTAAAGGAATCGTTTAACCACAACACATAGTCTTTGTTTACTTTCTGTTCTTACATCAGGGAAGAAGTTGAAGTCAAATTTCCACATTGGCGCAACATTATGCAAGCGTTTCTAAAATAGCAAAAGTGGATAAGAATAAGGATGAAGGTGTTGTTAAAAATACCCCTTACAATTTCCTGAAACCCAAAGTGACATCATTAGATGTCCACTTTTTGTTCATTCACTAGTTCAGAGCCTTTTTTCATATTTTGAGCTTTTTTTCTTTCTTTTTTTTTTATGAGATCATGAGTCCACAGAGCTCAGGCTCAGGCGGAGAGAGTTCCAGAGTCTGCAATTGTTGCAAAAGCTCTGTCTACTTTGTTTGATGCACAGTCAGCAGGCCCTGATCACACGACCTCAGACACCTGATGGGGATATATTGATGTTAACGTTCTCTGATATCCCCTGGTGCTTGTCAATGCAGAGTTGATACCAGAATCTGAAATGGACTTTGAAGTTAACAGGGAGCCAGTGCAACAAAATCTTACTTTCAGCGACATACTTGCTGGGTAGTAGTTATAAAAATGTTCCTAAATGTGCTTAAAAATGTGCAGAAGAGCCAACAGGTATAACAGAAACAATAAAGAACTTGTAGGCAAGAGAAGTGGAGCATGACGTGTACTTAGAAGCAGCCACAAAAAAAGAGTCATTCAGACACATCTGAAGAGAACTAGGCCCTGATATACCTACCTACTATCTCAGCCTATCAATGTGATGGTCAACAATATGCAAAGTAGATGTCAAGTCAGAAATCAGAATCTTTATTGCCATTGTAGCAATAAAACATTGAACATTGAAAAATGAAAGTGCAACATCGTCATCCGGTACCTTTCTGTGTGGACAAGGGAAACAATAGTTTTGTTTTGCGACATCAAAAGTTTACGCCTGTGTCAGACTGTGCCCCGTGTTATTGTTTGTAGCCTTATGATTGGCCAACATTTATATACAGTTAGAATTATTGCTACCTGTTGCACCTGACATCATTTTTTTGTATTGTCATGTAGATGCAGGCATCTTTAAATATGCAAGCAGAAAATCCCTAGTGGCAAAACTTGAGGTTGTGAAATATTTTTATTGACCTGAACACATTCAATCCATAAAATCAAACTCAAAAAAATCATTTTAATTTCTGACTTCCATGGATAAATGGAACAAACTCCAGCTTTAAATTCAGCTGGCAAACAGTTTATAATTGGATGCTTCTTTCATTATTACATTAACATTAACAGGTCACAAGCAATTTACTGCGTGAAAGTTATTATTTCTCACTGAACTCTGTTCTTATTTAAAGGTGTATGTTCTATTCAGCACACATAAGATGCTCAGTCGTCAGGTCAATTTTTCACTTACTGTTGAGACATAGGATCTGAAATATGTCTTCAGTGGAAATGTACAGTGAGTGGAAATTTTCTGCTTATGACCTTAGGTGAAGGAAGGCATTTTTTTGTGTACTCTTCAGCATTTATAGGGAAAGATTTATAGAGTGGCTCAACATGTTTTTATCAGCTAAAGAAATCTTCCTCTAGCTTGACGTATTCTTAAGATATGAAAGCCACATTGTTTACAGGCATTTAAAGACTTTTAGCCGCAGACGTGCTTTCCTGTTCCCCTTTGTACCCTGCTGACTTTGTTTTGGATGGCAGAAAGGTCCAAGACCTGAGCTATTCCTTGGCTAATCTCCCATAATTGGACAATGGGCCCCTATTACAGCCATTTCATTTGAGCCTGTTGAGTAATATTGGCTTGTCTCGTCCCTCCTGAGACAGGACCCAGTCCAAAGTTGCATTTGCTTTTAAATATCTTTAGAATAACATGAAATTGTAACTTGCTCCTTCTTTATTGTTTAGGACTATGTGTAAGACTGCTGGTCAATAAGGAGCCATAAAATGGGCACATTCAATACCAAAAAGTTGTAGTAAAAGTACTGAATTGACTTAAATTCAGTTTGCATAGGTCTTAAATGTGTCTTTTAGTCTCAGACATTCTCTAGACATTTTGTTTTTGTGACATGACTGCATCAAAAAGGTCTTGCTTTATAGTTAGATAGATAGATCATGTCAAAAGGACCATTTTAAATATACAAAAATCTTTGTTAAATAGGCCTGATGACTTGAGATGGAGGATTTATGGGCCACCAAGTCTCGGCACCTGAAAATAGTGATGAAGTAAACCATGCTTGATAACATGCTTGTGAGTCACTGGAAATCCAAAGACGGAAGTTTAACAGCAAAAATGATCAGAATGTAGACTGATACCTGGAGATAAGTAGATATTTTTTATGAAAACAATATTTTTGTCATTTGGACACTTTGCTTAAACTCATTCAAACACTTAAAATTTTTCTTACTGTTCATTTTATGTTTCACTTAAAGTGGGAATAAATGTTAAAGCCTTAATTTGCATTTGCTTATACCTCTCATTGGCTACAATGGCTACTTCAATCAGCAGCATAGAAAAAAAAAAGTCTGCCATGAAGCTTACTCATTAAATTTCTTCTTTCTTTCTTTCTACAGGTCTCCAGGGATACAACATACCTCTGTCAAACATGTGAAATCCTTATTTGGGTGAAGTTCTCAGTTACAAGCAGTGATGATTTGGATTACTTGGAAAATTCTTGGGTTCAGATTCAGAAACAGAAGTCTATGTGTGTGATATATTTTCTCCCGCAACACAAACTGTGCAAATACTGTTCTGCCGTGAAACCCTCGGCTCCGCGAAAACCAACCAGTCCACTTGTCATGCGGGTACATTACAGAAAAACACCCATAATACCCTCACTGGTACCACCGTCATTCACGTCACCATGGAACGGAATAAACGCAACTCCATTGCTGGGTTTCCTACACGACCTGAACGCCTCAATGAGGACAGAGATGATATCGGAGGGGTAGGAGTGTGTGAGATGGGAATGGCTCCACCTTTGCAGGTTGGTTTTTAGTTTAGTTTAAAATTGTTACATGTTATACACTATACAGGACTCGTGTGCACTCTACAACTCAATGTAAAGCCAGTGTAGAGCTTGGACAACAGTATAATTATAACCTGTACAGTCTAGTCTGTACTTAGCTATAGATTAGTGGCTTTTTTCAGAAACTGTTTCTGACAACCTCTTCAGCCCAAACAAAGTTGTGGTATGGTCCTGCAACATGCTCATCAAACATGTCCTTTTCTGTGTTCTCCAGGTGTCTTCCCCATCATCCTACCGAGCCCTCATCAGTGCCTTCTCCTGTCTTACACGCCTTGATGACTTCTCCCGCGAGTGGATTGGCTCAGGATTTTTCTCTGATGTATTCAGGGTGTGTAGAGATCAGATATTACCTCACTCTTTTCTCAAGTTCAGTCTTTTCTTTCACTGTCTTCTCATTTTATAACCATGCCTCATTTCATACCTCAAGCAAGAGTGTCAGATTTGACCTCAGCTGAATTCTTCACCCTTGGTGCCTGACATAGTTTTATTTTGTGATTCGATTGCACTCAGTCTCATTATTAATTAGGCTCTGCTAAATGAAGCTGCAGCAGAAGAAACTTTTTTTTTTTGGTCTGTTGTATTATCAGTCCACCATGACAGTTACAAATTTTTGCATGACTCATTGTGGTTTAGATAAGCAGTGTGACTGCTCATCTAGGAATAGAGCCCGATTGCATAAATTAGAAATAAATGATGATGGCCTAATAATGTTTGACTTTGTTGGTTTTAGTATATCATCAGATGCATTCTTTGTTCGGGGTTTATTCTAAGACAGACAGTAAAGACCGATCTCTTGTTTCTTAAAGGGGTAACATGGAAGACAAAGGTGACAACATTGGGGTAAAGGGTTTATCTTATTCATTAAGAAAGTTAAGACTCCCTTTTATTTCACTCTATTTATCAAACTGTTAGGGGTGGGCGATAGAAACAATAAAAATTTGGCCAACGATAGAGATTTTGACTATACCGCTCTATCGCCATAGCGCATGTTGATGATGTCGTCAAGCTGTGCCTGTTTTGGTCGAAAGCATCGCAGCGGCTACAACCATTATCATCTGCAAATTATGCCGGGCGACAGTCATAGCAAAGAGATGAAGCACTTTTAAAATATGGGGAAAGCCAAAAACTGCGCTTCCTCCACTTCCGTAACATTGATTCATTAATGTTGAATTCTCTCGCAGCTGTTCTGTTCCCATGTTGTTGCAGTATATTAATAACTAACCTTGTATTGTGGATGAATAATCTCAGTTGTTCTCCTTACTGAAGCTTGGCCCATGTATAGCATCCTGCTATGCGATTGCATTTGTCCCTGACCACCAGAATCCCTCACGTTAACTTTTATCGAGTGGAAAAAAAGTTGGCGTTCATCCTCCAGCTTCACTGTGCTAATGTTATGCTAACATAGCTGTGTTGCTAGCAATCACGTAGCACATCATTATATACCAGGTAGTCCAACTTCAGTAACCCTGCAAACGCCACTGCTGTTTAGTTTTCTGTCTTCATTTATGTTGGAAATGGTAGCAGAGCTGTACATTTTAATTAGTTTCAAAAATCTCTCAGTCAGAACATGGTATGTCATGTTTAGCTGGAAACTAGCGAGCTAACTTCCTGTTAACTTCTAATTCTGTTAAATGTAATAAATTCTGTTTTCATGGATGCCTGGATGTTAAACTTAATTGTTACACCTGGTAAAGCAGCAACGCTGATGATTTTATTAAAGATGAAAGAATTTAGACTGTTTTTAACTCTCAGTGTTCGTTTGACTTTGGGACCTGAAGAGGAGTTTTGGACCCAGATTACTCCGCGAAGCTCCTCACTACAGCAGCCGTAATGCTCTGACAATCCATCAAGCAGTGCGGCTTACCAAAGTTGTACTAAAACACTTTTTAACAGATTTCTGCACGTCAAAATTGGTTCGAGGTCATTAAGCACAACCAGAATTCATACATAAGGCACACTCTCGATTTTTGAGAAAATTAAAGGATTTTAAGTGTGCCTTATAGTGTGGAAAATACATTATACAGAAGAAAATAATATATCACGATATATATATATATTAGGGGTGCAACGATACACAAAATTCACGGTTCGGTTCGGTTCGATACTTTGGTGTCACGGTTCGATATTTTTTCGATACAAAAAAATGTTCATGCCTTCTTAATTTGTCATTTATTAAAATTATAAATATATATTTTAACTCAAAAGTACAGTTTTTAAATTTAACCCTAACCCTTGTACGTGTTTTTTATTTTGACAGCGAATGCGCACCTGCGGACCACTTATGTGCAGCCCTGGTTATTTAGCTCGTCATATTGCAGCCACAGAAATTCTTTTGTCCATGAAACCATAAAGCTGCACTTTCTTTTTGCCTTATAGTCTGATTTGTCATAACTTCTCCGTTTTGTGGTAAGCTTTTCTTTGGCTGTCACTTCTTCACCCTGACCTGTCTTATTTGGCTCAGCAGAACTGAAATGCTTTTACACACGCACTCACATAAGCTCAGCGATTCTCTGCGCGATCAACCTCTCACATGTTTAAGCTTGCTGCGGGAGATTTCACTTGTCATGTTTGCATAGTAAGCTAACGATTAATAAGACGATGTCAGAGGAATTGGTGCACAAATTATCATCACTCACAGATCAGTGCTGTCGCTCTCTATACACAGTTCACACGATTGCAAAGTGAAAGCAAAAAAACAAGCGCAAATTCAAACGCGATTTCAATATGTCACATATTGACAGTGGCTCACCGATGCCAATGACATAATTACCCAGCTACATTTCCGAAAGAATGCAAAAGCATTGACATATATTTTTCTTCCTACAATAGCCCGACTGGAAAAATCGCTAGCTCCGGGACGTCGGGCTAGCGATATTGCAAGCCCTGTATCTGATTGAGGAATCACTCATCTTTGGAAAAGAGAGTTTATTACAGAGAAATGTCTCTTTCCAAAATAAAAGCTATACTATCCGCTTCTTCTGGGCTATATTCTCAGCAGCATAAGGAGAATCATGTGCTAACAGCTGTCTAAATGACTCGGCTAAAGTTAGTAGCATGCTTGTTGTTTTTGTCTTTGCACTAGGATGATATCGGCGTAAATGTGCAGTCATATTCGTTGTGTTCCCACTAGTGCTTTCAGGTTAATCTCGTTGAAATGACCTTAACGCCACAACACGGCAAATCCCCGTTAACGAGCTACCGCCGATCGCCCCGTGCATGGGGCTAGACGGCCAACACGTTAACGAGCTAACTGCGCTAACACACTAGTTCCCACCCATGTAATTGAGCATTGTGTGGCACATCCAACATACTGTTTTACTTTAGTCCATGACTCGCTTACCTTCAGGGTCATATGCCACATGAAAACCAAAATAATTCCAAACACCACATCTGAATGAGGGTGGGGGAGGTGCCCTGCGCTCTTCCTTCTGACGATGCTGTCTGTGTTGAGCGCTCAGTGGATCTGCGCTCGACAGTGCAGCCTAGGCGGAGTAGTCGAACGCAGATTCACTGAGCGCTCAACACAGACAGCATCGTCAGAAGGAAAGTTGATAAAATAAATTACAAATGTTGTATTGTTCGATACATATGCGTACCGAACCGAAAGCACTGTATCGAACGGTTCAATATCGATACGAATATCGTTGCACCCCTAATATATATATATATATCGTTACCGCACGTTTTTCAAATTATACCGTGATGTGGATTTTAGGCCATATTGCCCAGCCCTACAAACTATTATAATTTATTTTTCCTTGTTAGCTTTTGTGTATTGGAATTTCAACTTGGCTTTAGTGCAGGAGGATTGGCCATGTACTGGATTGTATGCAACATGAGACCTCCAGTGGAGATGACCTGCTGTGACATTTGGTTTCCATTGTGTCGTGGGTGGGCTGATTGATGATACTGTTGTTGTCTGACAGCCAGTAGTGTTTGAGTGACGTGTGTGTTGTTAAGCTAATCCAGAAGATTTGTATTGGAGCGAATCTAGGTATATTGTAATTGGTTTTTATTAGCCATATTAAGCTTGTAGAAAGTGCTGTTATTCAGCACTATTCTAACCCATTGTGTAGTTTGTATGCCAGCTCTCAGAAACATGCTATTGTTATTGATGTAAAACCCCTGGAAGTTATTCATAACTCACAGTGCTGCAACTGGGCTAAAGAGTGGATTAAAAAAACAAAAAATAAACAAAGCAAACACCATTGATGAATGATTTTAGAGACATTTGGGGCGTGTTTCATTGAAGGGAAACAAGCATAATCACTGTGAGATAAGCATTACTCACTTTGTTTTCTATACTGCTATAGAAAATGATCAGAGCTGAGGCAAAAGAAGGAGTTTAAAGAGGAGGGACAGATTCGGGTGGATCCTGGGGTGGTGTGGAAAGACTGATGAACGGGATGTGGTGCTTCAGAAGAGGTTTTAGGTGTTTACTGAGTACAAAGGAAGGCAAGGATGAGGGCTACAGAGGAGAGGAAGAGGAGTTTGAAAGGAGGGGGGGTGTAAGGATTGGTTAGAGGTTGAGTTATTTTGGGGTGGCAGGGGCTTGGTAAAGGGTTTGAGACAGACACTAGGGTTATGGTTTCCATCTGAGAAGGCGAGGTGGAAAAATGGGGAGACACTAGAGAGGAAGATGGGAGAGGGGGAAAAATGCTACCCCTACAGACTTGATGATTACTTGGGCATGATTTGCTGGAGCCCACAGAGGGGAGAAAAAGGGGGGGATGAGGAATAACTGCAGATGGGGGGGATGTGAAGAGTGAGGAATTGGGGGTCGGACGGATGTGGGGGAGGAGGCCTTTAGAGGAGTGGCCATCTGTTGTTTCTGCTGTCCTGTGGTGGGGACTGTCGGCTCTTTTAGCCATGCCCACTCCTTTGAACTTGAACAGAGACATTTTTGTTTGTGCATGTGTGAGACACAGAGAGAAGTCGATACAGAAAACTCTCACAGACTAAATTCAAGTTCATTATATTTTTTGAAGTTCTGCTTATACACGGTATATAATAGTGATCATCTTGCACTAAGTAATGAACTTGCAGTGCAGAGGAACTAGTGTTATTCTGTATACTTTCCTTTAATTGTTAATGTTGCCTGCATAATCCACATTGATTTTTGCCTATGTTGTCAAGTTCCCATCCTACTGATGGGATATCACAGTGGCTGTGTAATGGAAGATAGCTGCTATAAGATGACATAAATTTGCCCTTTATTTATTTATTTATTTATTTATTTATAGTGAATATAAGAGCGTTTTTGGGACTGTATACCCCCCTCCCCCAGTCTTTATTGAATCTAATCAAATGTAGCAGTTTTTAAAAAAGGAATGCACGACTAAAAGTGACAAACTCTTTTACTAACAAACCATGTTTATCCAGCATCCAGTATTGAGTAAGTGTCCAAAACAAACCAACATATGTGACAGGTGAACCTTTGTTCTTGTAATGGTTCATGCTTTACCAAACAAAGAATGCACAATGGCCCATACAGTAACACTGGCAGCACTGAAACCTTTTATTCACTGTGCAGTTTAAAATGATCTTTGAAGTGTTGGTTTAAGTTGCTGCAGAATGAATGATAGCATAACTGCTATACTAACGTGCCAGTTAGCAGGTCTGGTTTGCATGCGTCTATGAATAATTTTCCACAGTTAACACCTCATCTGGAGCTTATGATATTTGAATAGTTGCCTTATGTACTGAAGCTCATCTTTCCGTAGATACAGGATTAATTTAGGCTTTTGAAATTACTTTCTTAAAAGCTTTTTAAATGCTTCTGATGGGAGGAAAGAGTTTGCATGTGCAGGTAGATAGATTTGCATACAGTGTCTTAGTCAATTGGTTCTCCTGACGTCTAGACAGGCACATTGGGGCTTTCTACCTTTAATAGTAACCACAGGAATCTGTAAAATAATCTGTGTTTCCTTCAGTAGATATTAAATATATTAAGCAAATTGAACTGCTGATATTTTAGAAAGTGTGTGTATGTGTGTGTGTTTGTATTTGCAATGGCTCCAAAGTATATCTTTAAATTTGGGATAAAAACAAACAAAATCAAAATCTGCATACACGTCTCTATTTCGTGTTACATTTGATGTTGATTAAGAAATATTTGCTTCTAAATTTTGATTCAACTTTCTTGGTTTTGACTTTTAGGCATTTAAATTTAAACATGCTACCAACATAGCACCTCTTGCTAGTCAATTGCAGTCAATGAAAAATAAATGCTAGTAGATTGTTTAAAAAAAAAAGTGTACTGTACTGTTTCAAAGCTTCAACGGGAAATGTTTTAAAGTTGTCACAATCCAATGACCTGTTAGGTTTGCCGTGCTGGGATAGTCTCCAGCCAGCCATGGAGGGATTGAGTGTGATGCCACAACTATGTAACAAATCAATGGAAACTAAATCCTGACGCAGAATCATATAAAATTGATTGTGGAGCACTGACCTGACTGTTTCCTTTGTCATGGCTGGTCAGCATTGACTGACCTCATTTCACTTCTCTTTTATGTCCTGCCCTTTGTTTTTTTGGCTTCCTCTGTTTTCTTGCCTGAAGAACCAGATTTAATATTTTTTTGGGTTATAATTGCAGAAGAGCTTGGTTGCAAGCTGTTCAAGGCCTTAACTGTTGTGCTCATTTTAGGCATTATGCAGTCATAGTTAATCTGCCCTAGATATGAAGGATGAGACAGTGTTTGGTTGTATTTGACTGTAACTGAACACATTTTCATTTGACTTTTTTCCAGGTACGTCATCGAGCTTCAGACCAAGTTATGGCTCTGAAGATGAACAAGCTCAGCAGTAACAGGGCTAATATGTTGAGAGAAGTCCAGCTAATGAACCGGCTTAATCATCCAAACATACTCAGGTTAGTAATCGAATAAGAGTAATTTATTTTCCAGCCAGGGCTCTTAAAAATAAATAAATAAATAAATAAATAACCTTTGTTAATTGAATCTTAATTTAAAATGTTGGTTGCTTCTAAAAGCTGCATTAATTTAACTTTTAAAACAAAGCAAGCAAAATCATTATTTTGTTCCAGATAATTATTACGTTATGGTGCAGATTTTAAGAAACTCATTCTTAGTAACGATTTCAGAAACTCTAGATGATATTCAGCACAAATGACTGTGTGCAGAAAATAATTTCTACTAACACCTGCCTGTGTGATGATAAACAAAATATATTTATAGTCTTCCACCCCCTTCACCACCACTTCTCTTCTGTCATTTGCTCATGTGCTTGTGGTTGTGACCTGTTTCCTTTGGGGTTGGTTTGAAACTGTGTCAAACATAGAGCCTATTAGCAATGGATTTTCTAAGCTGCCAACTCCTGTTAGGGTTTCACCAGATGCCTGGAGGCAAGAAGCAAGGAGGGCCCTCTCTGTCACAGGGAAGGGGAAAGGCAGAAGCTGTATACAGTCATGAACATTTTCTTTTCAGTTATCTGCTGTATGATTGGCAAAGTGTCAAAAAGTTGGTGACATTTGTGGTCCTTGCTGATTTGTGTTGTCTCCATTTAACATTTTTCAGAATTAAAATAGAAATCAATGTCAAACCGTTTTAAAAGTGCAGTCGCAGTTTTGCTTTTCTTCTTCTTTTTGGACCTAGTACTAAATAAATAGTAACACAGGTAAGCATGATGCATTGATAGACTTAACAAGTGCCTCGCTTAGCCAGAGATACCTGCTAAATAGCACCAAGTAATGTAGAAATAAAGTGGATACTGTCCTAATAGTATATTAACTTTAAGCCTTAATAAAATTCAAAGGGGTGAGATATACACAAAAAATTGGCTACATAGTGCAGTAGTTTACATGTTTGCTTAACAAGTGAAAAGTTCCCAGTTCGATTCTAGGAGGAGACACAAATGTCTTTGGGGTTGCATCAGAAGAAGGCATCTGATGTTAAAGTCTGCCAAAACAAATGTGATCCCCTGTGAATAAGTGAGCAGCTGAAAGTAGCTTTTTTTCACTCTGTGCTGTTCTTGTGAAAGGGAAAATTGGATACATGTAGCAAAGCCTGTTTTAGTTGCAAAGTTTTAACATGGGATTCTAGAGGACTTGACTTACTTTTGCAGCCTCAATTTGCCATTTAAGGAACTCTGATTTTTGGAATTTGTTTTTGGGCTTCACTTTTCAGCGCCACAGGTTGCAACTTGGTCAGAACCTAGGCATCATGATGAAATTGACTTTAAGTTCCATTTTCTTTAAGATCTAACTTCCTGTTGAAGTTAAATGCACATAATCTTTGGCCACTTTCAACTTTGAATCCATAATTACGCTGCTGTCCTGCTGACTAATTTCTCTAATGTCCTTAAAAGTCTTCTGTTTCTGTAGTGTAATGCCACTTTTCATGACTTTATTTTGTTTTGCTTTGTTTAAACATTAAGAACATTGACATAAATGGACAAAGGCCAAAACAAAACTGGAAGCTAGTAAAGATCTAAAAAAAGATACATAAATATGTGAAGCCTGTGGATTTGAGCAAGGCTGCCTCTGTTAATAGTTAAAGTTACTTATGTATGTATAACTTTGCATAATCATGATTTTTCCCAGTCTTTCAGTTAGTCAGTTGTTACAGTTTTCTTTGCAGCTGCCAGAAGAATCTTACACAGGTATTAGTGTTTTGGATGTACATGTCCTTTAAGGTGTATAAAATCAAATGTGCTTGTGGAATTATATAACCAATGGCTGCTGTCCAAGAAAAGTTTTAGTTTTCCACATCTAAAAAATATGAATAGTATATTTTAGTTCTTCAGATTGTATTTGTTTTATGGTTCTTAAATGCAGATCTTATCCATATGCTCTTCAAATGACATCTGTGGTAAAATGCAAAGGTGTTTAACTTTAATTTTACTGCAGGAAAGTATGGAAAGTGGGTACACTTAATAAAATGTTGAATATGAGATGTTATTTCAATTAGAACAACTGTTTTGCTATAAAATAGGTTTGTTATTTTGTCTTTGTAGTAAATATTTCACATTCTACTTTGGGCATGTGTGTGGGGGAGTGTGTGTTTACGGCCATGCACACATATGCATAAATATCTTTGTGTGTTCACGGACACACAAGCACACATCGTTTACAATGCCATCTTTGTTAAGCGTGCTTCATGGTTTGTGTGTCTGTGTGCTAACAAGCTTGCACTGAGGGGGTCATTGTTAGCTAAAGTCCAATAAGGGCCCACAGAGTTGACCTTTTCGTTTACTTCAGAATTATGAGGTCCTCAACTGAGTTTGTGAACAGTTGGTTCATGTGTTGCTCTGGACACACACACACACACACACACACACACACACACACACACACACACACACACACACACACACACACACACACACACACCATTAGATTTCAAGTGAAGGGGTACACAGCCCTCTCTGGGCTCAATTTATTTTATAAATACAGATGAATAAAAAGTCATCCAAAATTGAGGAAGAATGATCTGACATGATAAGTTGAGGCTGTGTTTATCCTTGATTAAAGTGTTTGTCATTGTGGTAGATTTAATTATTTAGTTTAATATCAGAAATTGAATTTGTCAGTGTGATTATGAAACACTGACACAACAGAAAGGGTGTTAGCGTGATTGTGGTTTTGTTTATTACTATATTAAAATTTGCAGGAAAGGCAGAGGGAGAAATGGAAGGAATGCAGGTGAAGCAGCTGAGCTGTTATTATCCTGCTGTTATGAGACTGTCTGACAGTAATCACCGGTCCGGTCTTGCCTATTGGAATTTTAATCTTTTCTCAACTGTTGTTGCTGCTTTCTTCTCTTCACTCATAACAGAAAAGGTCACAAAGTATTTTAATCTATTTTTTATACACACTACATAGCAAGTGATTCTATAGTGTAATGGTTAACACATTTTCTTGGCAAGCAAAAGGCTGTTACTTTGATTCCAGCTGGAAGCACAAATGCCCTTTGGGGTTGTATGAGGAAGGGTATCTAGTGTAAAACACCTCCTGTGATAAGGGAGCAGACCACTTCTTCTAGCAAGTTATTGAACTAGTTAGAAACTGTGTTTGTGGCTTGCAAAGATAAGAACATTTGTCTGTCAGTGTCTCAACCACATTTTTCTTTTATCAAGTCAAATTATTACACATATCTTCAATTAATCTTTGAAATGGTGCTTATAAAACATGTTTTAACAACAACATTTTTCATTGCATCTGTCTTCTAGGTTTAAAGGAGTTTGTGTCCATGAGGGCCAGCTTCATGCTCTCACAGAGGTAGGAGAACATATGCACAAACACACAATTTCACACTGAAGCTTCTGTGCACACTAATATGTGAGATCAAAGCGTGGCTGCTAATGAAAGGTCGAGCACTGGGGCACCTATGCTATAATTCTTTTTGTGTTAGTGTGGCTTGTGTGCGTTCTTGTTATTTTCAAGTGAACACCACGTAATCCATGAGCACAACACAGAAGTGCACAAGCCTGTAATTGTGGAAAACCAAGAGAACTGAATGTCCTTATTTATGTGTAACCCTTGGCCTCTGTGTGAGTAAGCGGGAGGGAGAATTTGATACAGGCAACTAATCAAGCTTTCCAGGGAAGGTAAACGTTTGGATATCTTTGTGATTAATGTTATTTAAATTCACATAGCCCAATTTTAGTCACAGAAAATGTCCAATAGACACATGACATATCTGAGTCTGAATGAAAGGATGAGTTGCACAGAACATCAGGTCTTATCCTCCAAATTACAAAAGAATAAACTGAGGCAGAAACAGAACCCTTGGTGGCGTTTATGTTATAGTAAAGGGCCCCTTGTTACCAAGTAGCTTTGATTTTTCTCAAGTCATTCTGAATACTGAACAGTATTCTCCAACATTGCAAGTTGCTTTTTGCTTCTCATGTGTGTTTTTTTGGGGTAATTTAAATAATAAATACAATGGGGTAGTTGTTGCTCGGGAGGTAGAACAGGTCATCTACTAATTTGAAAGTTGGTGGTTTGATCCCTGACTGCTTCAAAGTATCTTTGGACAACTACTGAACCCCAAGTTGTTCACCGGGGTGTGAGTGCTAGATAGAAAACAGGCGTAGAAAAAAGTGCTTCTATAAATGTGAGTGAATAAGAGAAGTTAAAAGCTTCTTTTAACTAATAAAGCTTTTTGCTTCTGTCGGTCTCAGATCTCTAGGCATTCAGACATAGATTTCTTTTTGTCTGTATTTCTGTAACAAAAGGTTTTAACAGGAGTTTATTAGCCTTGTTCTAACCCCTAACATGGAGATTACTAAATTATGAATTAATTAATTTTGAACTAGTAATGTTATGAAAACTACAACTCCTGTTTTCTTGCAACACGTGTTGCACATGTTGCAATAAAATTTTCCCTCTGCTGCTTAATGCAGTGTAAATTTAGTCATATCACAGACTGCGTTTTCTGTTCGATAAGTTTTTAAAATTTTATACACACATAATCTGCCTAATGATGTGCTAATGTCAATCTACATGAACTTTCATTTATACAGATATACATCAACACTTCAGCCACTGATGAGCCAGTTCATCTCTGCAAATGATTATGTATGAATTTGCATGATATGGTCAGTTACATGTAAATGTGGGGTGATAGACATGGGCTATCTGAAGAAAGCATACACTGTTAGAGATGCTCCCGGACTCACACATATGTTCTAAATTACACTGCTGTGCTGCACAGTGAATGTGCTTATTGTAGCCTTGACAAATAGAGACTGACACCAGTTTTATAATAGAACACATCTTGAGATGCTGAATTTGCACATATGGTTGATCGTAGTTGCAAAGGGAAGTACTGCATATTGTACTATGCATACGCACTGTGGTAGGTCTTGTATTCCTTCCTTCAGCGTAAACAGATCCTGTTGTATCGTGTCGGGGCCAAGCTGTATGCTCTGACTCTGGTAGCAGGCTCATGGCGTTTTGTTACCTGACCCCCGCTATGTGGCTATGCTCAGAGGAAGAGGAGAATGAAGTTACTGCATGGCCTCAAGCTGCTTCAGTAACACTGACTGACACGCAGACACAAGCACATCCCATGTTAGCGCATATGTTAGCTTGAAACTGAAACACTGAAGTGCTGTTAGCATTCAAGAGAGCAAAAGTTGAAAATGATAGATTTTATTTTATTATTGTTTCATGCACAGAAAATAAGTCCAGCATGAAAGAGCTTATAAGACACAAATAGCAGAAGAAAGAAGAAAAGAAAAAGAAGAAAATTAAATGGTGTTGGAAAAGCACCATAACTCACAACTGCTAAATAAATAATCCAGTCTGATGTCTTCTCCAGGGTTTAGATATAAAGGCATCCAGTTAATAAACAACCTTTTCATTCTGTCAGTGCACAAAAACATGTCTGGATTTTTAACAGACGTTTTATTAAATAAAGTCGTCCTTAACTCGTCTAAATAAGAATAATCCAGGAGAACACTGAAGAGTACAACCTGCATACCTCCCTTGTATTAATTCTAAAACTTAAAATTTTTTTAGTTTTTTTTTCCCCTTCTTGTTTCAAAGATTGGCTTTGAATGGTCTATAGCATATGATAGAATTAAAACCTTCTTCCCCATTTAGGTAAGGAAACCCTTGAGATCTACAACTGTTTTTTAATCTTTATTACATTATGATGATCTGCTCTTTATAAATGTGCCTGATAGTAACTACATAAGGTATACCTGTACATAATTATGCGTTATGTTTTGTTATTAGCTTTGCAAATTGTGCACACATCATTGCTGTTTGTCTTCAAACTTTCCTGTTGGATTCTTTCTATATAGAACTTTCCCCTCCTGGTTCCCTCTTACGTCTGCGCATACACGTGTATCAGGAAGGCTTTTGCTTTTATATATTTGATAAATGTTTCTCCACAGAGTAAGAACAGAATCAGACAAAAACTTTTAAATTTGTCTGTTTTTCCTGGAAGTATATAAAGAAGGGCCTGAAATTCTCAGAACTGGTTACGGTGGAGGATTTGAAGTCAATTTTAAAGGATCAGGAAAATGCTACTCTTGGTTAATATAATTTCTCCTCAATTTGCACTGAAATTGGTTTTAACCTTCATATTTTATTAAATATGTTTTGGACATTGTGCTGTGCTCTTGGCCAGGGTCCTCCTGAAATAGTATCTTGGACCTGCATAAATATATATAGGCTATAATAAAGGGTATAATGTAGGATAAATATAGGATATAATAAAAGGAATCGTTGCATGATGTGGGTATTTGGCATCTGCACTGGATTACTGTTTCACAGGCAAATTATCCTTTGAAGACTTAGCACAATGCACAGTGATCTAGACCTCAAAGACTTGCTCTGCTTCTGCTCAGCTTCATTTTAATGCATCTTATATGAACTGCTTCTGCAATCGTAATCTGGGCTAATGGTAAGTCATGACCCATGCCAGGATTATACTGCTGTTTGAAGCTGCTCTCGGCAGCAAACAAGAACTCTTTGTTTGAGTCTTTCCAGGTTTTTTTAACCTGAAACACAGACAGTCCTCCAGAACTGTTGTGACCAGCCATACGTTTCTTATTTCCTCAGCTCACTGCATCTTAAATGATCATACTCGGTACTTGCATGGCCCAAACGTGCCATGTTTAATGATCAGTTTGGTGCATCAGTACTTCCATAAACAGGATGAGGTAAATTCCGGGAAATACACAATGCATGAGTGAGAGGCTTTTTAAAATATAACTTTGCTTTTAGTTTACACGACAGGTGCACTCTTCTGTAAAATCGTGTGATTTGCTTTTCTGACTAGGCATACTTTGTGCGTATTCTGTTGGTGTGATTATAAACTGTGCGAAGCAGGGAAGTTGGATTAGTCTTTTTTTTTTTTTTTTTTTTTAATTGACTGCACTTGGGGTTTCTCCTGTTGTGTTTCTCTGTTTGGAAACTCCAATCAGGCGTAGACAACAGATGTTGAACTCTGTGGCTACTGAGGAATTTACTGGACAAATACTGTAATCCTCTGACATCTTGAAGCGGTGTGCGCATGTGTGTCACAGTATATCTGAGGGTAAAAGACCGCAGGCAGCTCAATATTTTGGGTCCAATCGTCCAGTTGCTTGAAATCCACAAACATCCAAAGGCACAAAAAGCACCTCTGCTGATCCCCTGTAGAAATTGAGAAAGACCGTAGTCCGGTACATGGAATTATCAGCTGTGGAGGTTAAGACAAACATTTCAGCAAACTTATGTGAAGAATATTGTTGGTAGTCACTGATGACAGGACACAGTTTTTACATATTTTTGCAAAATAATTTGCATTCTTTATTCATTTTTTTTTTCCTTCAGTTTTACGTGATGTGGATTTGTAGGTTGGCCTATCTAATTTATGTTGGGCTTTGGAATCTAAACCTTTATGACACTTAACCCTGAAATGATCTGGCTAATATTCAGTTTCAGATTCAGCTTGATTGGTATTAATCTGACTAGAAGCCCAGTTTATTTATTGCATTAAGAAGTAGAGTACAGTTTCAGCTCTCATTGCTCTAATTCAACTCCTGTCAGTCATAGAGTAACCACAGTTAAACCCGAGCAACTCCTTATCTCTCACAGTTTTAACTACAGTTGTTTTTGATATGTGACAGGATTAGAAGGTCTTTGCATGCAAGACCCGAGGTCAGCTACGTTCTTCTGGACCAAAGCTGACGGACAAACTGAAGGCCCCAGCATAGCTTAAACCCACGGAGCAGGTTTACTAATTCGCCTACACGGTGGGCAGATGGTTCCCATTCATGTTAAGGAAACCAGCCATTCTGCCAGCCAGTTGAACAGGCTGCAGGCCAGATTTTGTTCAGGCAGTTGGTCGATACATTACCTAACCCACCAAGCAGGCTGTCAGTAGTCACTGAATCCAACTGATCAGTCCTCTACTCTGAGCTGTCAAATGAGCAGCTAGTAACATGATTAGTCAGAACCTCTGTGCAGCTTGAATTTACCTCTGTATTTTAATGATGGTGAGTGTGATTGCACCACTGTGACTAATGGATTGTAAAGCCAGCAAGTCATTCTGTTCTGTTGCTGGCAACAGGGAGTGTTATCTTGCCATGACTGGAGTATTCACACCAACTCTATCTAATTCCACTGAAAGGAATTTGATATCTCCCCATCTCACTGTTATAATGACCTGTGTAGGAAGGATATGCTTTGTTTTTCAAGCATAGTAAAGCAGTTCCTGGTTCAGTAATACCAATAATATGAAATAATTTGTTCTTCCGCACATTTTGAAACCATATTGCACGTTGTCTGTTCTCGAGCTTCAGCATTTTAAAAGCAATTTTCTGTGCCCTACTTTGTTCAGGGTTATTTTAGATCTGAATGTAAATCTTGTTTAAAAATAATCTGATATTTACCAGTTAATTTATAGATGTGTCTTTCTCTTCCTGTAGTACATCAATGGTGGGAACCTGGAGCAACTTCTGGACAGCAACAAACACCTGAGCTGGCCAACCAGGGTGAAATTAGCCTGTGATATCGCCAGCGGTCTGGCCTACTTGCACTCTAAAGGCATATTCCACCGGGACCTCACCTCCAAGGTTAGCTAAATGGGTAATTGTGTCATTAAGAGGTGAAACGGGAGCTAAAAATGGTCTGCTTATATCCCCCCAAAATGAACACTTGGACATCTTCAGATTAGAACCCTTGTGGTGTATTTCTTGTAAGTGTTTTTGTGTGGAGACAATATAAAATGTTTGACTTTGGCTTCTTTATGAGTTTCCTGTGGGGTAGTATATAATGAAATACTAGCTGTACTAAACAGATAATTGTTTTTCCATTTTCTCATCCCAGGATAATATTCATAAGACTTTCTTAGTGTTATTTAGAAACCTTAAAGTATGTTCAGGTGTGTCCCTGTAACACAGTTTACAAAGAGTTCAGCAGGTTTAGGAATAAGTGGAACCTAAAGACCGCTAACACTGTCACATGTGATATTTTGTACCAAGCAGCTTCTAGTTTTCCAACTTGATCCAGAGCCATGTTGGCGCAGCGAGGGAACATGAGCAGTATGCACTCTGCTGTAAAATCATATTTATTTCCTCTCTTTGCTTTTAGCTCTTCACCTGTTTACAAAATAATAATAATAATAATAAGTACCTGCAAAAAATAAAGCGTGTGAAATTTTCCACTGGACTAGATGAAAACGCAACACGCAAGAAAAGCCTTTTGTGGTCATATGTGTACTCATAGCCTTGCAAATTATACTTCCTCAAATTAATAGAGAGTCTATTTACTTGGACTCATACCGGTCGGGGAAGTAAATGAACAAAGCAACATTGTCTGCTTTGTATTTAGTTAAAGCTATGCACTGTTCTAAAGACTCTCTCCTCTTATTGTACTGTCCTGCTTTATTGGAGAAATTATTTTGTAGTTTACAGAGCAACATGTTGGTGTACCATTTATAAAGGCAGGATAGAAATCTAGTTGTGCACTCACTGTGTCGTATGTTACTCCAGTCAGTAGAGCTGAATGTTAATGTTCTACGTACTCACAGTTTATTTATATGCCAGTCTGGGTAGCTGTGACTACTAAATGTCACAGTTAAGTTACACAGGGGTGTGCAGACAAAGTTAGAAGTGCATGTGCATTAGAAATTTCAATAAACGGCATATTTACAGCCTGTTAATTTAATCTGAAGAGGAATGTTCAACAGGAAAGATGCAACACCATGTACAGTAATGGTGAGGAAGTAGAGGTTTGGACTGGTATTACTAGCTCACAAAAGTTTTTTTTGGGTTTTTTTTTTATGCAACTTCCTCAAGCAAACGTGTCTTTCTGCATTCACAGAACTGCCTGATCAAGAGTGATGACGGCATGTACACAGCAGTGGTGGGAGACTTTGGCCTGGCAGAAAAGATCCCTACCAATCTGTAAGGAGGACTCACTGATCTCAGCACATATTTACACCTGGATCATAACTAGTATTAAAAATAATAAACAGCATTTGGAGGCCGTGCTTCTGGTTTTCTACCAGTGGTTACAGTCGTGCTTACTCATACTAACACTGAATCTAAATTGTGTTGTAAAAGGGGCCGGCTGTAACCATGAAGTCATTGATAATTATCACCCAGCGTTAGCTTGATCTGTCCTTGTACCCTTTCATTCACTCACTGTTTTTAGTTTTTACATTTAGCGTGTTTGCGTCACAGCTCTTCTCATCCACCTCGTACTAGACTCAGTAATTTACAGCTGTCAAAAACCACACGTACCCCACGTACTGATCGACAAAGAGTAAGGGAAAACACTGATGAACAGAAGCACATTTAGTAGGTAAAACTGCAGGCTCTTTTTTTCTTTTCAAAACCCCAGATCTAAAATTAGATTGATTTTAAGACAGATGACTCAAAACTGAAGTTTAACAAGGCTGATGTCTGCTAGTACGTAACCAAACTGAGATATCCGTTCACTTGTTTTATCTGGTTAAAAAAAGTTTATCAAACTTCAAAGCTGTATTGGACCAGTTTTATACTTGCTTGTAGTGGCTACTAACATCTCTAGGTGTGTCACATAGTTTGGTTTATGTAATTTAACTGACTGGGATGATGTCTTTGCAGGGTAGCCTTTTTAGCTTTGTCTTGATTTGTTTTAATTTATCTGCACCACACTTCCATTTGTGTCAGGAATAAATGATCATATTGCTACTCCATTCAAATGCTGCTCATTGTAATGAGTGCCAGAGAATATTGCAGGTCATAAGATTAATATTCTAGCCTGTTTTTTGTTCATTACTGCTCTCCACATGATTATTTTTGTACCTTTCTGTTGTTGCTGTTACAGCTAACTCAGAGTCTTCCTCCTCTTCTTCCTCCTCCTCCTCCTCCTCATATCACTCACAGGGTTATTTACTGACACATAGGTCAGGCACTAACATTAACAGCCGCCTCTACATTTCACATTCTCTTCTTTAGTGTTTTGATAACAGTAGGATAGTATCAGTGCCGGGTTTTACTTTTTTAATCCTGCAGCAGAGTAAAGGAGTGTCTCTGTTTTGTCTTTTCTAAACTATATTCAGGAGCGCTGTGCATAGAGACCAAATAATAACTTATGTAATGCTTTATGCATGTGGATATGTAAACATGTATGGGTGTTACTGTGCTGAAAGTAGCCACTCCCGTTATTATTTATTATTAAGTGGGAGAGTGCAGTTTGTCAGGAAATGATGAATCTTGGCTTGCTTAATCCAGTTTAAAAATGTATGAAGCAAAGGTCATTTAAGTGAACGAATTAGAGAGTTAAGAGAAATGTTACTATATCATTTTAAATGTCATAAAAGGTGATTAAAAGGTCTGCCTGGTAGAGTCAATACCAAAAACCATTGGTAGTAAATTAGAATAGAATGTGGTTATTTGTAAATCTTATAGACCTTATAGACTTCTTTTAATAGCAGTTTGGAAAGTGTCTGAGAACTGAGGAGACCTGCTGCTAGACCTTTGTGAGAGAAATATTGTCCCCTTTTTGTCCGATATGCGATTCTCGCTGCTCAAAAATACTGTGTGTTCTTGTTTTGTATTTTTCATTCCATGATGTACCAAATGTTTGCAATTGGTAAAAATCAGCCTGCCTGCAGTCCAGACTCTTCTATGACAAAGCCATGCTGCAGTAATGGATGCAGTATGTTTTTTAGCATTGTCTTGCTGAAATATGCAATCTCTGAAAAAGGAATGGTCTGGATGGGAGCATATGTTGCTCTACAAGCTGCATGTACCTTTCAGCATTAATGGTGAGGTTAGAGTTTGCATGTTTTCACAGATGTTCTATATCCATTTACTCCGCTAATGCACTCAAAGAGGCTTTTACTTTTTAGCACACGGGTAATATAAAGCCTCATGTTGTATTAAACATACTTCCTTTACCCACTTTGTGAACATGGTCAGGTCAGGTCTCTTCCTCGTTCTACACTCACTCTTGCCTTCCTCAAGTTAAAAACAACTCTGTAAAAATATTTTAGATCAGTGAAGCAGGAAAGCAGAGTTCTAGGTTGATCTTAAAACTGCAAAGTTTCTTACATTTTCTGGCTTTTTTACTATGATGGCATGTTGAATATAATAAATTATTCTGTGTCTGTGATGGTGTGTTTAGCGCTGAAGGAGAGAAGCTTTCAGTGGTTGGGTCTCCTTTCTGGATGGCTCCGGAGGTGCTGAGAGATGAACCCTACAATGAGAAGGTAGATGTTTATCTTTACAGCCAGTGCTGCTATGGCCTCAGACTGGATTGAACATAAACTTTGATTAGACATTGTTAGAATAGTTTTGTTTAAACCTAAACAAACCCCGATGGAAACTGAATCTTCGGAACTGTTAATAATAGCAGATAATTCGCAGTTACTCTGATCTGAATTGTTAGAAGGGGCAATTTTATATTTTTATAAGCAGTCTTTATTTGCTCTTGCGGGTATGTGTGTAAATATTAACGTCGATCTGTTTTCAGGCCGACGTGTTCTCCTATGGAATAATCCTGTGTGAAATCATCGCAAGGATTCAGGCCGACCCCGACTTTCTTCCCCGCACAGAGGTGACTGCTCATCTGCCTCGCATCAGTTTTCTGATCACATGACCTTGCAGTACTAAGTCTACATGTTTGCACTGTACACAGACTAATCTTGTTGCTATACCGTGCCTCTCACCATGTGTACACAGTAAAACAGTTATTCACAGAACAAAATGAGTGTCAACCATTTTCCCACCCATTTTAGAAAAATATAAGTGAACTTCAAATACTTACTATTTATTCATCTAATGAACTTTCTCATTGTGCTTATGTCCAGGCTCTCTTTGCACAAGGCCGATGTTTACTGTTTATGATGTGAAATATGTAAAAGGCTCAGAATATAGCTGTTCAAGTTAGTTAAAACCACCCTTTTCAGTCTTATTTATAACTGCAGTAGCATCTTACACTGGCATTAAAATTATGAAATGCATGTTAATAAAATACAGAAACTTTGATCACCTGTACATTTGTTTTGCACACCGTTTAACATTAAAATCCCTTACCAAGCATCTACTGTATGCAAGTTGGCATGAATTCATTAAGAATGATAACTGGTCAAAAGGGTAATCCTTTGCATTTCAGTGTGAATTGTGCCCTTAAGCCGGGCTTATAAGTGAATCCAAGTTAATAATAAAGCAGCTGATTATTAGTTCTTGATGGTCTAAAGCAAAAGAAAACTTGGCAGCCAGCAGGATCATGTCAGAGGGATTAGTTTGACACGAAGCTGGCTTTGGCAGCTGAGTTACAGTATGTCAAACATCTGCTGAAGTGCTGTCAGTCTCCGTCTTTATCCCACTGTTAGAATATGAATTTCCTGTTTGTTCTTCATGTATTTCAAACCTCTTTGTCCCTCTCGCTTCGCCCTCCTGACCAGAACTTCGGCCTGGACTATCACACATTCCAGCACATGGTTGGAGACTGTCCGCCTGACTTCCTCCAGCTGGCCTTTAACTGCTGCAATGTGAGTCCATTATACAACCTCATTTTTTAAATTTCAGAAATAATAAAACTTTAAAAAGCAGGATTCAAATAATCCAAGTAGTGTCTGTGAGGCTTCAGGCTGCTCTAAAGGCTCTGTTTCTAAATTTTTTCCTACTATTTAAATCGGTATGATGTCAAAAAAAGAGCAGATATCTGTCATATAGCCATTTGAGGCCCACCCACCTGCTCTTCAGTCCTTGTGTTTGCAACCAGCAGCCAATTCGAATAAAGTTGGCTTAATAATGGTAGAGAAGCTAACATAATTTATTTCAGACCAAGTGAAATGAGCGACTTCATCAAAACCCATGAGATAAACTGTGATTCATTTAAAGTGGCTCTTTTAAAGTCCAATAAACAGCTTAGGTTTATTTTAAGCATAAAAACATGTTGTTTACTGGGAGATGTACGTGGTCATTGCTTATTGATTTCCAATCCTCTGCTTTCCATCTTGTGCAACAAACATTCAGGGCTGCTTATCTCTGACCAGCATTTACAGGAAGTAAACAAAACATAACTGTTAAATATTTAAAATTCAATAGAAAAAAATAAATGTGCTTGTTAGCACTAGTTCACTGATAATAAACACCCACTGTCTGCTTGTGAGAAAACAGCTTGCAGGCAGCAGTAGCTTTAAAGTAGCTCATAAAGTTGAGGCTTCAGTCTGTTTTTATAATGTGTTTACCACAAACTCTGCTATGTTGAGACAACATTTCCCAGTTGGCTTTGTCCTGGAGTTTCGACTGTTTTATTTCTAATTAGTTAAGTAACGTTCATTCCCTTTTTCAGAAATAAAGGGGCAATCTGATTATGTGAATAATCGGATTTAGCTTCCTCTCCAGAAGGGGTTCTGTTCTCTAAAAGCAGAGCCACTCACTTGGCACGTTCTGCTTTTCTTAAGTCATATACTGGTTTGTTGTAAAAGTATCTAGAATAAGCAGCAAGTAAATGAAACCATAAAATAAAATATATTTGCTTATAGACTTTAAATGAGATTTTGCTACTTTGTTTTACTCACATGATCACTGAACTGAAAACACGAGTTATTTTTCACTGAAGTTAATTACAACCACAGATGATGAGAGCATTAAAGATCTTATAGCACCCTGCTGATTAAGACTAGATAGGCCTCTTCTATCCCTTCTCATCCTTATCTCTTGTCTTGCTTTTATCATCCTTATCCTTCTTCAAGTCTGTTTCCAAGTCTGTCTCTTTCTGGCATTTCCTTGCGACTTCTTTTGCACTTCTTTGACAGTTAAATATCATCTTTTAGCAACACTTTCATTTTTTTCACACTTTGTATTTCATCCCAGCTGTCCATTGCCAATTTCTTCTTCTTCCATCTGCCTCCCCTTGTTTCTCTTGCTTTTATTTTGCCTCTCAGCTTTATCATTTTGATTTTGATTTCATACATTTCTATCCTCATAAATTCAGTCAGTCACTATTCTTGGAAAGGAGGGGCTTTCCTGCATAGGGGAATTTTTTGTAATTTTCTCATAGGGATTTTTAGCTAGAGCCAAACGTTAATCAACGGCTATATGATTAAAATATTAAGCACGTTTGAGTTTGCATTTCTGTCACATAGGGTGACTCATGGCCTTTAATGTAAGGATATGATTGTACTTGTATGTGCTGGCACCACCCAAAGGTAAATCTAATTCTTAGCCATAAAATAAACATTTTATTACTAGATTTTATTGCTAAGGACAGTCGAAAATCATAGTGACCTCAGATGTTCATTTTACTACTTGTCTTAGTCTTATACCACAGTCTGCTGAGCAACTGAACATTTCCCAACTAGAGTGCCAATAATATTATAAAACCGTCCTTTCTTTGTGCCACTATGGCACCAACCTGTAAACTACAGTTTAAGGGTTTTGGTGTCATCGAGTAATGTAATGTGAACTATGACACTGTTACATAATCAACGCAGTTTTCATGTTAAGATAAATGCAATTCTGTTTGTGTGTTTCTCTTTACCTAGAAAATAATTTACAAAGTGCAACCTTTGATAATGTTTATTACTGTCACTATCAGCCTTCTCCATATCTCCTTTTTCTTCTCCTTTAGATGGATCCTAAACTCCGTCCATCCTTCTCAGACCTCGTCAGGCACCTCGAGGAGATTTTCGCACGCCTTAAAGTTGAAGATATGGAGCACGAGTGTGTCCTGCTCACTGGGGACAATGACAAGAAAACCATAGCCAAAGGTAACAGTCCCCCCCCCTCCCACTCTCACATAAAACTTCAGCTTTACAGTCCATAAAGGCCACGTTGTTTTATTTACACGAAGATGCTTGTAAATTCCTGTGAGGGGAGGTGAAAGGAGGGGAAACTGTAAGCAAACAAGGCAACAGAAATTTCCCTCACCTCACCCTTGCCACTTACAACAGTACAGACTCTGCTTGTCTTATCTTCTCAGCCTGTCAACTATTTCACCATTTATCCAATGTCCAATCCAACTCTTCTTTTTCCTCCTAACACCACAGTGCTTCTCATCTCAAAGCAAACGGTCACTTACAAAGGTGCTGTTTACACTGCCCTCACCCTAAACATACAGCCAGGCTTGCTCAGGCCAGATTTTGCTCCTTCCAAACAGCTTCAGCCATGTAATAGCCCTTATTTCACTGACGTCTGTATTCACTATTATCGCACTCAAGCGAGCTATTTAAAGTGCATCATGTTAACATTTATCTGAGTGTCCCTATCACTGACCCAGAGCTCTAACCGTGAATCACTTTGATTCCTGAAAATATAAACTTCATCCACGGTAGAAGAGGAAATTTGGTCAGAGATCAACATTCCTGCTTGAGACACTTAATCCATGCAGGCCCAGGTTTCACTTCTAATTTGGTCCCGCGTAGAGCCGCCTGCATGTCTGACACATCATGGAGTCACGAGGAGCCAGTAATGATTTTGTTTGGGCAAGCCCCAGAGCTTCACCCCCCCCCCCCCCCCCCCCCCCCCCCCCCCCCCCCACTACATGTTATGTCACAGCTGTGACATAAAACATTTATACAGCTGTCAAGATTATTGTTTTCTTTTTATCCGATGAAGGTGGCAGAACATATAAAACGCAGTCTTAGCCTGCTGGCATGAGGGTGATCCCTCATGTAGCTGTTACTGTGTGGAAAACAGGGCCTGACTGTGACACCTCTCATCAGCTGTTGGTTGTTACATCATAAACTTCCTTTTCGCCATTCCTCCTCCCCTCTATGTACCCATCATCCTCCTCCACCTCCTCCATCTCCCTCTCTCTGCTGATAACATCAATGTTTCCCGAGACCAGGATCGCCCTGACAGTAGGAAATGTTTCTGTTGCATAACGAAAAAGTAAAAGCCAAATATTTTTCCAAAGGAGCCTTTTTTTTAGTCCACATGAGTAAAAAGAGTTTCCTGGAATAAAGGAGACACCTGGGGGTCCACTACAAGCTTTGAGAGGAGCTCGTTTTTTTAGATATATTTATGCTATACTTGGAACCGTCTCAGTACTTAACTTTAAAAAATATTTATACGAGTAAACCCTTTGTTTTTAAACAATGTTTAACAACCACCGGCGAGACGGTTTCTTAATCCTGCCATGATTCCAGCGCTGCGAGAATTAAACCCGACCACACCACTGAAAACGTCTGTTTAAATAATCTCATGCAGCGCCTTGGGAAACTGTTAACATACATTTAGCCTATTCTGCCATCTAGTGGTTTTAAAATATTCCTGCTTCACCTTCTGTATGGCTATGTCAAAAAAAAACCTGAAATACACTTCTGTATTTTCTGTAGATTTTATGTAAGATGATCACAGAAAGCTCTTGTTCTCTTCATTTAAGGGGAGAAGATCCAAGGCTTCAAGCGAGGGAATCCTCTTGGTTTCCAGAACGATAAAATCCCTCCTAAATCACCCCGCCCCAGACGAAACATCTGGCTCAGCCGCAGCCAATCGGACGTCTTCTCCTGCAAGCCAGGAAGAAAAGTCAATGTCCAGGACCCTTACTATAACCCCCCTACTGCCAAGAGAGCCTCCAAAGCCCGCAAGATCAACCCTTTTACAGCCCGAGAAGATCTGTGCGGGGGGAAGATTAAGTTTTACGATGTGCCCAGCAAGTCTGTCTTCTCCCTGGTGTTTGACCTCCACTCGCCACCTGGAAGTGTGTTCAGTAACCAACCATGTGCTCTCGGGCCCGGAAGAGCCCAACAAGAGGCGTCTTATTACTGGCAGCAGCTGCCGGGAAGACAGTGTCACTCCTTACCGGTATCGCCCCAGCTTCCTCGCTCTGAGATCTTCCACCTCGCCGCTGCTGTTAGCACCAACAACGGTTCTGTTAACTGTAACTCCAGTCAGCTGTCCACAACTCTTCTAGGTGAGCTCAGCGAATGTTTGTGGAAAGATAAAAGATGAGCTTCAAGTAGAAAACAATCAACTAAAATTAGATTTTAGTTTAGTTTAGTGGCTAATGGTCCCTCTTTGAAGTGACATGTCAGGGACATTTGTGATTAACCAAGCAGTTTGCATGTAGTATGCAGCAAGCATTGTAAATAAATAACATTTTTAATTGCTGAGTGTGTAAGTAACTCTTTGCTTTGCGGTTTAAATTCTAAGCTAGAGGATTGTGAACTCATAATATGCTTCTTTTCAGCTAAGAGTGCACCATACATGAGGCGAGTAAGGTGATGATAACCAGAAATAAGGAACTCATGTTCAGTGCTGCTTTTGAGCAGGTTTTAAATAAGAGGATAACACGTTATCTTCTGTCAGTGATGACCACAGTAACGACCAAACCATATGTGTCATATTATTACATTACCTGTTCACTTTTAGGTTACTGTAACAGACATGAGTCATCATCTGTGAAGTCAGTTTCATTCCATCTGTTTCATATAAATGAAACGGTGTGGGCCATCTCATTCTGCAGGAGCAGGAACAGAACAGTCTGTAATTATTAGGGCGAGTTTCCTCGTTCATCAGTTTTTGCTCCTTTAGTGTAGGTTGACAAGTTAATGCGATTATTTAAGTGTACATCTTTTGGGATGCATAAGAAAACTATTTGAGTTCCAGTGCAAAGAACACTGGAACAAGGACCATTACCATATCGCTATGGTAATGGTCCCACATAATTAGTAGCTAAAGTTTGGAAACTTGCATGGTTTAAATGATAAGCATGAGGGTGATGAATAACTGGCAATATTTGTCTGCAGACGCCGTGTGTGACCTTATTAAAGTCGTCCTTTATGATCTCAAAATAATAATGCACTTTGAATGTCGGACAGGAAATTCCAGTGGCAGTCAAATAGAGCAGCCATGTAATTGATAGTAGCTTTCCATGACTTAGTGTCACCGATTTACCCTATTTACACAAGTTTAAGTTTAGCCATAGATCAACATGTGTGTCCTACTCATAGTGTGAGAAATCTGTGTTCATCTGATCAACAACACTGCATCCAAACTACTTCAGATTTGGTTTGATGAATTATCAGGAGCCCGAGTTAAGTGCACTGCTGAGTTTGATGCTGCTTGGATGAAGGATGTGACAGACACACACACACACAGACACACACACACACAGACTATTTTTGTTGCTGTCCTTTTTACAAAACAGTAACTTTATGATTACCTATATATGATACATTAATGGACATCTGTAAATTGTAGCTACAAAGAGTTAAATTCAACATAATTTACAAGTACAGCAGTCTTTTTGTTGTAACCTTTTATCCTTACTCTTTCGGCTTTTTTTTTTCTTTCTCACAGGTACTAACTCACGGTCTGATGCAGGCCAAATGGGAAATGACATCCGGCAAAAGGTGGCGCTGAGCAGCTGGACGAAGAAATATGTCGTGGTTGAAATCCCACCCTACTGCGGGCAGAGAAGAGGGGAGGACGACGGGGAGGTAGAGGGAAGTAAGGAGGACTCGTTAAGGGAGAGCTGGTCTCCGATGATCCCCAGCAGTGAGAGAGACAGTGGAGAGGCCATGGACTGCTCGAGCAGCCCGGAGGACGAGCAGGAATGGGAACGGGGGACAAACACATGCCCAATGTAATGCACCCGCGCAAAATGCGTCAACACACTGAGGTGGTGGAAAAGAAAGTGGGGAGGACTCTGACTCCACAGAGGCAGCCGAAAACGGCTTTTAAAAGTAGACTGGACACATTTCAAATTTTTTTGGAGAATAAAAGATAAAAGGAAAAATCACTTGATTGTGATCTTTCAAGTGAATGTATCACCTGTTGACTCAATCAAGCACACTTGATTTGGATAAATAATTATTGTTCAAAGTTTCCACCCAGGTGTGAAAGTCAGCAATAGCACAAAAAGCTTTTTATCAACACAACGGACCCTCTGCATAGAGATTATTTTTCTGAAAAGGTTGTTTGTATTTAATATTGTGAGATGTAGATTTTTTTCTTTTTCCTCTAGTCAGTGTTTTGTCTATGAGGAGAGGTATTGAAGAGCCATTGTGTTGTGTTTAGGTTTTGATACTTTTTGTGTTCATTGAGAAACAAATGCTTATACTGAATCAAAAACCCCCGCATCAGATTTACAAGACCGTACGCTGATATTCAGATGAGAACGTGCCTAAAAGCACTCACGAGACCGATGTTTAATCTCTCCCCCAGGAGAAAAAGGGTGACAGAGTTAAGGGTTTGTCAGTGATTTCTCTGTGAAATTGGGAAAAGGGTGGTTCCTCACTGCTCATTCCTGCCAATTTAAAAAAACAACCTGGTGTCAGGCGACTGAAATCTTTCAGGAACATTTCTTGTTCTTTTGACATTTTTTAGCCCGCTAACTTTAAAGTACAGAAAAAAGAGGAGAGATAAACTAGTCAAACGAAAGCCAGCCAGTCTAAGCATTTTTTATTTCTACCCTCTGTAGGCAAACATAGATATTGTAATAAATGTCTTGTACATCTGTCAGGCCAGATTTCCAAAACAGTCCCTCCAAAAAAGAAGCAAGCCAAAACACAGGTTATTTACTTGGATGTGTTCCAACTCAAGACAAGTTTAAAGCCACACGATGCAAATTTTAAAGAGCAAAACTTAAATAAAAAGCCAAATCTGAGATCATACCACGACAAAGGCTGAAAATCCTTCCACGCTATGCACTGAATTATCCCTGGATTCAGAAGGATATCTGGATCTAGCTTCATATACATCTCAAAAATATATCACAACTCTGTCTCCCAGTTTTGATCATGTAAAGTTTTGATGCAAAGTTTCCAGTTTTTCGCCATCTCTCGCTGGTGATAAATCCTTCCAAAAATTCCCGCATCTAGATTTGTACGTACTCCAAAAATTTATCACTTCTGAGTTTGCCAAGTCTCACCACTGATTTAAAAAAAAAAAAAAAAAAAAAAAGAAGAAGGGAAAAAAAGAAGATAAAATAATAATATTAAATAATCCGTCCATAATATTTGAGTGCTTCTACTAGCAGACGAACCATCCAGTGTGTGATGGGTTTGAAGTAACAACCTGCTTCCCACTTTACTCTTCTGATTAAGTATTATAGGATGAAGCTACTGAAGCATAATTAAATCCACTTTAAGGTTGATAATTGTAGCAAATGTTGGTAAACTATAGAAAGACGGGTCTTATGTCAGACTTATAAAAAAAAAACAGGATTACTGTAAGTCATACAAACAGTGTTATCAAACAGTCCTTACAGATTTGTGCGTTGTCAGAAACTTTTCATGGTGGTATTGTTTTAACATTGCTGATACTGAAATCACTTTACTTAAAGGACTCAGTTGATGATTGGGTGTAAATATGTTTTCCAGTTTAACATCATAACCTGGAGTTTCAAAGTCTTTCATGGTGACTTTCTGCTCTAGTGGAGGGAAAACATTTAGGCAACAGGAAGTGCCGCAAATAAATGCAGTTGTTATTTGGTAAAACTGAATAATTACAGCGTACAGTACAGATTTTTTTAAAGCTGCTAACATTTGGTTCGCTTTGTTTAATGAACTATGAGACCCTGTGACTTGTTGTACTTGACACTCCACTGAATGTCTGATTTGAATCAGTCGTCTTTAGTTTTTCCATCTCCACCTTAATGAGTATTAAAATCCTTGTAAATGTCTATCCGAACAGCTCTGTGTACAAACTAAATGGCTCATAAAGATTAGATTCATAGTGTTGAACATCAACGCCGATATTTTTTCCTTTGTGTGGCTTTTGTTGCGTTCTGCTGATCTCAGTCTGATCCCTCTAATAAGAACTAAAATGCACACATAGAGTGATATATAGAGTCCTGTCCTATCACTACTCCTCTATGCAACTTTTATCACAGTTTTACAGGATAAAAGATCTAATTTCATATTTATATTGAAAAAAGTAATGTCTTACCTTTGTATATTTGTGTAAAATGTTTGTGGTACTTGCCTTGTTGAATACAGATTAAGATGTTTTTTGTTTTTCTGATTGAATAACAAGTTTGCCTGAGTTTTTCTTGTCTTACTTCAGGATGACTCCCGTCACCCTCAGAACTCACACTTCAGATTCCAGAGCCTATTTTAGCTTTCAGAAAAGGTCAACCAGTCAGTCTTTAATCGGTTTATAATCACCAATAACCCTAACAAGCATCACTGAGTTGGAGGAGGAAGCTAGAGTACCTGAAGCTACACGGGCAGCATGGGAACATTGAAACTCTAGACAGATTCAAACCCAGGAACCTTCTTGTTGTGAGACATTCGTGCTGACCACTGCACCATCCTAAGCGAGATCTGTTTCTAAAATAAATGAAACTTCCCAATTTGATTTCCATGCCTGGAGACTGAAGACAAGCGATGCCAAAAGATGGTTAGTTTAATTCTCATGAGTCATATATTTAAATAAAGCAGTTCTGACACTTTCCAAAATCCTTCAAGTCTAATCTGGTTACATTTCTTTCAGTTTACTGAAATGTATTTATTGTAACAGCCGTCCATCTGCAGGTTATCCAGTTCAGGGTCATAGGCCGAGAGACTTATCCCAGCTTCACAGGGTGGGAGGCGGGGTACGGCCTGCAGAGGTCGCCTTTCTGTTTTATGACCAGTAACATTCAATAAAATTCAAATCAAACTTAATCCTCGATTGACTGTTTGTAAAAATGTAACCTAGAGGTTTAAACATACCACAGTTCCTACTTTAGTTTGCAGTTGTAAGAAGTTATTTAAAACATACCTAATTTATAATCAAATGATTTCCAGCTTATAAAAACACTGACATTGTGCTTGAAAATGTAAAAACAACAAAATGGGAGGGGAGGGGGGTGCAGGGATTACTGCTTTTGTTAGAGCCAGACAATCTCTTCTTCTACCCTCTGACGGCCCATCAGTTTTTTGGTACTTCTTTGATTTACCTCCAGCACAAGTAACTTTGATGTTTAATGGAAACACCAGACACCGATCTAATCTCTGATAGGGCTGAGATGTGTTCAAAGATGTGTTCAAGGACCAAGTTCAAATGCAGAGCAACTTTATTTACTTTTCAAATTTGCAGTTTGGGCTCCGCAGGGAAAAACTTATCAGGATTAAATTAACATAAGTTACATGTAATAACAAAGGCAATGAATATGAAATTGGTAATTTAGGAACAACAACACGGTTGAAGATGAAGAGAGAAGAATGGCAGGTAGAAAGCCTCTTTAGCTTTTCATTAGCCTCTCATTAAGGCTGATGGATTAACACATAAAGCTACGTTTCATGAGTCTTTAAGGTGATTTGAAACCAGTTATTAAAAGGACTGAAGCTAGCATTAGTTCTGCAGTCTGATCACAGACTGTATATGAAAGATTGACATATGCTTCAGGTCTGAATTTTAAGCCATTGGAGAAGTGCTTTAAACCTGCATTCTTTTTAAAAGCCAGTAGAGGGCGACTATAAAAAAAAGAACTCAGTTTTACTCGGTTTGTGACCTCAATAAACATTTCATAAACACTGAGTTTATGTCTCACTGAATAAATTTGTTCCTAGTTGGAGTAAAACAGATGTGTTATACGGGGCATGTTTGAGGAGTTGATGAGTTTATTTCCACCCTTTACTCACCACAGCTGGCTAAAAAAAACAAAAAGATAAAACACTTAATAACAACTTTCCACAATCCATCTTTTCCATGCAGCCTGTGTGGCGCCTGATGGAAACACATTAGCCGGGCCATAAACTTGACTGTAGTTTTATAATTCTGTACCACTCAGTCTAAAATTATGTGTATATGTAACATCACAAAAACAAAACCAATTATTAAGTTCTCCACACGGGCAGCGGTTGTATAAAATAAACATTATAAGTGTGCTGTTTTCTGATGAGACTTGAGGCTAGAGCGCTGGGTGAAGCACTTCCCGCACAGCGAGCACTCGTAGGGCTTCTCCCCGCTGTGGACCACCGCGTGTCTGATGAGGTTGCACTGTTTGGTGAAGCTCCGGCCGCACTGCATGCAGCTGAACGGCTTCTCGCCCGTGTGACTCCTCAGGTGCTCTTTGAGCTGGCTGAACCTGGTGAAGCTTTTGTCGCAGTACGTGCAGTTGAACCGCTTCTCGCCGAGCCCGGACCTCCAGGGCGTCCTCATCCTCCTCGCCAGGCTCAAACTGCCTCCAACTCTGTGTGTGGCGAAGGGGCCTGCGGGGTTCGGCCCAGTCTGGCCCTCGTCTGGATTACTCGTTTGAGTACAGCTCTGTAACTGTTGAGGAATCAAGGTGGGATCTGTGGAGTTAATCTGAGATGCAGAGTTTTGTCCTTCCTCTGACTGTGGCCTCTTACATCCCAAACTTCTGCCTCGTCTTTTCACTCGTGCGGAACTCAGCACAACAGAATTAAATTTCCCAACAGAGTGAACTCTGGGTGCCACATCCTCCAAATGCAACAGGGCTGAAGATGCAAATGCAGCAGGAATCTGCTCAAACTGCTGCCCGGTGTACGGGACACCTGGGTCCCCCGTGTCTCTGCACACGCTGGATGGCCACAGCTGCCCCTCAGCTGTCTCTGTCACAAACGTGTGGGCTGAACCGAGTGGAGCTGCGTCCTCATCCGCCTCTTCCTCTTTCTCGTGTTTCACTACGAGTTCGATATCATTTTGGCCGCTGTTCAGCTGCTGTTCTGGGAAAATGCTGTAGCCGTCTACTTGGGAAACCAGATCTTCAGAGAGGGCCGGGTTTTCAGCCGAGTGGTAAAGCTCCGCAAAGCTGTCGCCTTGGGCAGGTTTTGTTGTGTCGAAATACGGCTGATGCTCGGCTCCAGAGACTAAAGAGAGCACATTACCAGAGAGATGCCTTTAATAAAACCTTTAATCGTTTAGAGCAAAGGTGTCAAACATAAGGCCAAGTCTCCAGAGTCACCCCACTGGACAGCTTTGGAAAATGTAAAGGAGGGTGTAAATTTTTCATATTTATTTTCATATATTTCTGTATTTTCATAAATTTGACAGCTTGCCCTACTATTAAAGCTCTTCCCTGTGGCTATCCATATTACACCAATGTAATTAAGTAATAATTAAACTATTAAATTAGAGAAAATCTCCTGTTTTTTTTCCACAGTAAAACACATAAATGTGGACAAAAACTTTCTGCTTTATAACTACAGGACAGTCTGAACAATGATAATTTTACACATTTATTTCTTGCAACTCAATCCCAGAGTCAAGCTGATAGATTTATTTTATTAAGCAGAGCAGCATTTCTTTATCATATATTGAAAGTAAAGGTAAAGTTGTGCTTCTTTTTCCTCATATTGTGATATCTCAGGGATTAAATGGGCAGTTAAACCTCTTTGCACCAATAGAAAGGGAAGTTTCACTGGTCTGACCCACTTGGCTTCTGAGTTTGACATCCCTGATTTATAGTCGGCAAATAACAATTTGGCTCATTTGAAATTAATTTATAGTTGTAATTCTTATCAGATCATATCCTGGGCTTTGAATTCAGTGCAATGCTGTTAAACTGCAAACCTAGACAATAATTTGTCTGTAAACTGAACCATGTGTGTAGCATCAGCTCTGGTGCACATTAGCACACATACATATTAATTTGTACTCAGACTCAGGCTTCTCATCTTATGACCTGTATATAAACAGTGCATTTATTTACCTTTACAGCTTATCTGAGTAAAGTGAAGTATTCCTTGTGCTTGAACGAAAAGTCCCTCTTAAACATCACATTGTTTTATTTCTTCACTATTAAAGGTGTGGACTCACTCGGTCTGTCCTCTGCATCATTTTTCCACATATCCTCTTCTGCACACTCCTCTTTGATCCGTATGTGATCAGGCCCATTAGCAAGCTCCACGGCCTCAGCACACTGCAACAGCAGGCTCAGGGTTAGTGCTTAAATAAGATGACACATGCACTGCGTGGTCAAGCAAATGCATCAGTGCTTATATGCAAGTTGT